ATTTCCACGCACTGCTTTAGGAAATATATTATTGAAATATTCTGTATAATTTCTTGGGTTTGCACTTTCACAAACAAAACTGAAAGGGTTCAAGAAAAGCTCTCCATAAATCATCTGGTATCTGGAAACCCCATATTACAGTACGGTTCTAGAGACTTATGATTGCTCTGGAATGAGATGACCCTCAATTCTCTAAATACCAATTTGACGAGAAAATTTCTGATACTAGAGAGCTTTTTAGTATGACAGCCTGGAGTATAAGAAAATGGATTTCAAGTTAAATTAGACAAATTCCAGCTTAAAAAAAAATCTTATTTTAACAATTTTGGAAATTAACAGCTGGACGAGCTTATTTAGGACACTGACATGGAGTCAACATCATCTGAAGTCTTTAACATTAATCTGAGGGGTTGCTTTGTCTGTTTTGGGGTTTTTTTCCCACTTTAGCTCCACCAGATGTTATAAACACAGTAAAATTCTGAGGCTTATGTTATTTGGGTCATTCTAGGTGATAACAATATTGAAAATGGAGGAGATCATTTCTGTCCCCAGAGTGCCACTGGGGCTTTCACAGGGAGATCTTCTCAAATAATAACGTTAAAGGACGGAGAACAGGATCCCTGATCCCTCGCCTTTGTGTATGTGCAGATTGGATTAGGAGATTCTAATCAGAAGAGCAAGCAGGCTCCTTTTTTTCCCACTAGAGCTAGTGCTTATCTTTCTGCAGAGGTTTCACCTGTCAAAAGCCCAGACATTATCACATCAGAGGAAAGATGTTGGCAGCAGGGACTCCTGAAAACTCTCTGGCACCCAGAGGGTCCCCCAGCACTCTTGTCAGGTGCCCTGGCAGAGCCACTGCCAGAGGCAAGTCATTAGATGAGGACAAGCTGGAGGTAGGCTCTTCTCTCTCACAGAGCCCAAGGACCACTCGGCAGTCCTCAGATCTCAGAGCCTGCTCCAGACGGAGGAGGAGCCTGGCTGGATCTCCATGACCCAGTTATGGACCACGTATTTCTAAGAATAACTTCCACATCAAGCGAAGAGAATTTTCTTCTCCCGTGCCCATAAACATATCCCTTACCATCATTACATTTTTATTAAGACGTCCCTCAGCACGAGTGACAAACAAACCTGCAAGAGACTTGAATCTCTTCAGTGTGCACACCGCCAGGAGCATGTGTGTGTTTCTCTATTTCAGGCAACACATAGCAGACACAAAGAGGAACCCTCCTGATAGGATGGATGCCTGAAGAAGCACAGATCAGGGAAAAGACAGCAGAACAGCAGAAAGGAGCATGGGATAAGAGCCCCAGCTTCTATAATCATGGGCTGTTCACTGAGACAAAAAAAAAAAAAAACACTGCAAAGAAGCCAACGAAGCCAAGTATCTTTTCCCCTCATCCACTCATTTGATAGCAATGATTGAGAAAGTTTGCATTCATAAAAGGGACAGACATATCACATGCCCTGAAAATACAATCCCACCAGCCTTTGTTCAACGCAGGAACCTCCACATGAATAAAACAAATCTTCAAGGTTGAAAAAAACAGGGCTTGTTACAAAATTTTTCAGCAGACCCTTAGCTAGAGCAGCACTAGTGGGCGCAGCTATAATTACAGCAAACCTACATAATGCGTCTGAACTAGCTTAGCCCTTTCCCTGCAAGCAGAGAAGCTGCCACATCAGTAACTCCGTTGCTAAGGCAACTGCTTACCTTCCATATCAACTGCAAACTCGTTGCTATGGAGACACATATACAAGAAAAATTCCTCTCTATAGCCAAGGACCAGATGGTGGGGAAGTCAGGGAAGTCATGGGCTAACGGGCTGTACTAAATGGGACACACACTAGAGGACATTTAGAACTGTACGTCCACAACAGATTAATCTGAATGCCTGAATTCACAGGTCCAGCAGTATAAACAAAGACAGGGAACTCCTCGTCTACTCCCCATCATGTGATACTTCATACTCTGGCCAACTATTATTAAACTGCTGAGCTCAATGCAAAGAGGTTTGTACAATCAAGGGCTCAGCATTTTCCCTTCTTCAGCCCAGCTCTCTGTCTCAATCCAGGAGATCAGCCTCATCACAAAGTTACATGAATAGTCACTCTGTCGGCTTGCCAGGTAAGCTTGATGGCATTGCAGCTAAAGTAGAATAGCAGCAGTGCACAAACAAATCTGAGGAGAAAAATGTCTTTTCCCAGTATTCCACACCAGACCTAAAAGCACCAGCACAGGGCAAGTCAAAAACTCAAGTGACGCATCCTGTAAGCCTTTTTTTTTCTTCCTGCTATAAGGAGCTCACATCAGGAAATTCAAGCATTCATATGCAGGCAGAAAAAGCTGCATACTATTAGATACATATTTAGCCCCATGAATATAAATTTGTGGAGCCCAAGATTAAGAAAACCACTATACAGAGAGAATTCAAAAAAGAATTAAGTGTTCAGCAGAACTTTTTTTAGAAAAGCTATTACTGAAAGGCTACACAAACACTGGAAAGCACAACTAGGAGAGGAAAAGCTTCTAGCTTTTCACAATGTGTCAACGCACATCAACCAGCAAATGCCTGCAATTCCCAGCACTGATTAACTCCTTCTCCTGTACTGTACATGTTTCAGAGCCTATCTAGTTAGCTTTTTTTTTTTTTTACACATAAAATAGTAAGACAGGAAGATTCCAAACCTGAGTTTGCAGAATCTGTCTGCAAAGGGGAAGAAGTGGCATGAAACGATTCCTTAAAGGGGAGAGTCTCCTCCTTCCCCTGCCCCTAGCCCAAAGCCAGAGAACCCTTTAGATGGATGTCTTCCTTCTGAACAGCAGAGATGCTGGCTGCAAGGTACTCAAATCAACCCCCAGTGTTTGTGTGCACACACGACGGTATTTTCAAAGCCAGTAGTTGAAGTTTACTGCTTTCCAAGTCCACAATTAGCTGTCAAGCACCTGATTCAGCAACTCTGACCCAGCGCCAGTTATGAGCTCGGGACTCTGTCACGTCCCTTGGCCAGGACACATGAAAAACCCAGCAGAGGATTAAAACAACCTGCCTTAGTGCATTTTACCTTTGAGATTCTCGTCTCATTCACCTTAATACTGGCTACCTGCAATTATTAGCATCTCCAGAAGATGGAATAAGTTCTTTCTCATAACCTGGGATTTCCCAGGAATAAATAAAACCCCACCCTGTTATTCATATAGGCAAGGCCTCCCACCACACCTTGTTGTCTAGCTATGTAACTGTGGCTCTAATCATGAATTTGAGATGTAGATGACTAGTCATGCATCGTGCTCCACCACTTCCCTGTGGAGAAGCAGCGCGTTGTGGTATTGTTCATAGGAGCTCAGCAGACTGCAGGATATTTGACAGATAGATGCAAAGACAAGTTCCTCACAGGAAGGAAGCTGTAATCTAAATAGTCAACTTGTAAACAGAGGAAGAGGGATAGAACAAAACACAAATGGCAATGTTAAACACATGCCTTGCCAGTTACAATATTTCGGGGTTTTTAAATGTATTGTGTGAAGGTTTCTTATGGTCTGGGACAGGATCATAAAAGTCTGGTGTGGCACTTGTTATTAGAGTCTCACTTCCAAACAAAAATTTAAGACTCTGGTTTACACAAAACAAGATCCAGTTCAGAAACAGGTTCTTTAATTTCACACACAGTCATTCACAGCAACTAATTTATAAAAATTCCAACACACAATGTGTGATCACCAATATGTGGACAGTGGATTCTAGGGAATGACACTCAAAAAAAATAAAGAAAAAAAGAAAAAAAAGGGTAAGAATCAATAATTTAAAGGAGGAAAGCTCTAGAGAGAAGAAACTTAAGTAATCTAAAATGAAAGGCTGATAGTTTAGGGTAACGTGTGACTCTTCCTCTAGAGTTACTCGAGCTCCTTTTCAACACTATTTAAAGTTAAATCGCACCCAAAATAGGGAGAACAGCACCACCAACAGAAGTCTAGTTTCAGGGTAACCAGTTACAAGACAATCACGGCATTCACTTCACTGAAATACAAAAGCTGAGTGCATCTATTGTTTCTGCCAGGAGAAAGCATCCACTTTCTGATCTTCAGCCAATTTTAGAGACAGACAGTCAGCAATGTGATTTTACCCGCTATTTATTTCACTAACCTATGAGAAGGGCTGTGAAATTAATCTGCAAGATGATATTTTTATCAGCATACTCACACTTTGCCAAAGATTCATCCAGACCACTGCTTCTGAAAACTGTCCCCTTCAGAAACTGATATCTGCTCCCAGGCAGACTGACGTGGCAGAAGGCTATGCAAAGGACTGCCTGCACCACTCGACTCGCTTCCCCATTCCCTTGCACACAGCCTCTTCCAGCAGACACCGCTGAGGATTCATTCAGCAATGACACCAGGAGACAACAACAGAGATCTGAAAGCAAAAATGTGCTCCCCAGGCTTCTGCCACCACACCAGTCGCAGAAGCTACACGATCCCAAGGAGAGAACAACTGAAATTTTGGTGAACGGTAACTTTCACCTTTGATGCCAGACCTAGATCCTCTCTTTATAGAGTTTCTCTAAAAACCTGCTTGAAATGGAACAAAGCTTCATTACCAAAATTCAGAACTACTTCTGCTTGTTTAAAAGAACTAAAAGTTTTTTCAGATTACTACACAGACCAGGGAAGAAGCGATGGGCTCCTACATAAGGCATATGTATATTTCACTATACATTTGTGTAAGTCAAGAACAACAAGCAGCCTATTTACTGGGGGAGGGGAAAGAAAAAAACATCACACACACACACACACAGAGTACTTTCTTACAGATGTCGAGACAATTAATTTAACAAAATCAGAATAAGCCATGCTAAAGAAATGTTGGCTTTCTGAATTTAACAAACTACATTACAAGGGACAGTGTTGCATATTCTGCATTTCACTGTTACAGACACGTTCTGGGATTATCAAGTGAGTACTTTCAGAGACACATAGGCTTCCATAGTTACAAACTTACCTGACTTCTGTCTTTGTCCACTTTCTTAAAACACTTATTCAAGGATAAATTATGTCTCACAGAATTTTTCCATCCAGTGGGTGCATTTGCAAAATATGGAAAGTGTTCCAAGATCCAGTTGTATATATCCTTTACAGGCAGTCTTTTGGTTGGCGAGTCCTCAATGGCCATAAATATGAGGCAGCTAAAGGAATAAGGAGGTTTGCAGTTGGGGTTCTGCTTGGCATCGTAGGGCATGTCAGAGTGGGCAGGAGACGGCGGCGTGTCATCACCAATGTCCTGAACAGGGCTAACACTCCTTAACACTGAGTCCCCAAAGCTTTTCAGCAAGTTCTTGCTCTCGTGTAACCAGTTCAAATTAGTTAGTTCTTCATCTTCCATGGCCCCTTTATCTAATCTGATGGCAGGCAAAGAGAAATCTAGGTCCTCGTCATCATGAAGTGCCTTTGATAAATCACTATCTTGGTAACGTTGGCTCAATCCGCTGGGAACGCTAATTCCTGAGCCCTCTGGCTTCTTACTGGGAGGCATGACTGGACCCATTTAGACAGCGACTCCTGGGAGACTAAATCCAAAGGAAGGGAAGAAAGAAACAGAGAGAAAAGTTAGTTCATAAAAAATACTGCAGAACACTTTTACAACTTTTCCCTACCTGGTCACTCGGCCTTTTGCCATCTGTATTAAAAATGACAGACTCATGTAAACACTCATCCAGAACTGTTGAGTAAAATATTCTGAAGTCAGGACAAAGGAAGAAATTCCAGTCAGTGGAATAAGACGATAGTCCCAATATACCTCAGTTCCGCATGTATGTGAAGCCACACACAGGAAATCCTAAAGACATGTCCCTTTAATAATGAATATGTGTATCAAATCATTGAATACTCTGATTGCATCACTTCAATAAGCATGTAAACAAAAAAAAAAAAAAAAGAAAGAAAGACTTAAGGCCACTTGCTTCAGATTAAGTTCAGCTGTTTTGCTTTTGAGGCCAATACAAGAGCACCGTGATTAAAGTCATTCTGGCTAAAGGCTGAGGCAGGCAAGCATCCAGTCTGACTACAGTCGCAGTTGCAACAAAACTCAGAAATGGCAGCAGAACTTCAAAATCATTAAGGGTGGGAGAGAGAAGGAGGGAAAGCGACACACAGTAGTTTTGGGACCAGGGCCAAGACACAGGAAAACAAGCACCAGAGGAATAAAGCACTTTAAAAATGTATGTAAACAGAAGATTTTAACATAAGCTGAACTGTATTTCAAACATGGTAGAACACAGAATCAGAGGGACTGCTGCGATGCTCAGCAGTGGCCTGGGAGAGGCAGGACAAGCTGCTGAAGGTACTGCATCAGCAGGCCCCAGGGGGAGACCTGTGAGCAGTAATATTCAGGAGGACCTGAGCCCTTCAGATGCTGAGTGAGTCAGGCACCTGCTCAACTCAAAAGAGGCAGAGAGGAGCCCAACAATTCTACTTCAGAAGCAGAAGACAGGCTCCCTTAGCTTCTCCATACAGTAAAACTGCCAGGATTTAGGTCTGGAGATGTGAACAGCAGTGAAATAAAAACCAGAAAGGGTTAATAACAGATTTAAAAACAATGAAACTTCCTGCACAAATGCTGAACCAGAGTGAAATGATTCCCTGTATGTAAAGCATATCCTCAGCAGTTCCCTGAAGTCAGTCAGTCTACACCGTAAATGAAGGGCAAAAAGCTACAGGTAACAACAGAATGAACCATGTACCTACAGCATAAAAAAAAAAAAAAACCCCAAACAAGACAGCCATTCTGGAAAAGGGAAAGGGCAGATATATTTTAGATGTTACAAAAGGGCAAAAATGAAAAAGAGAAGTTCCTAGAGTCTTTCTATAACCACTTTATACCACAAGCAGCCATTACCAAAAAAGAAACGCATGGAACTTTTATGCACAGAAGCCCGTTAATATACACCATCACCCAACAAGCTCAGCGCACATGTGTGGTTTTACACAAGTATCTGGAAGAGGAAAAAATACAGAGGCAGATATAAACACCGGGAGGCCAAACTTACGCAGGTCCCACTTCCTCACTTTCAAAACAGCGTCCAGCACAGCCAGGAGGTAAACACGAGAACCGCCAGCATCCGGGGGCAAAAACCCGCCAGCATCCGGGGGCACCGGCATCGCCTACCTACCGTGCACTCAACTTTGACTCCAAATGCAAGTTACGTCCCATGAGCTTCTAAACAGGAAAATTATATGATGGCTGACAGTAAAGTAATTTAATTGCACTGTTGCTATGACAACACGCTGCTCTCTTTCTGTTTAATTTGCTTATTTGCCAGTATCCTCCCAAAGGGCCGTATCATACCATCCTCCCTCCCCCCCCTTTTTTTTCTTTCCTTTCTCTTTCCTCTCTCCAGGCAGCGGTCCTCACGGGGGCCGAGATGACTCGGGCCGACCCCCGGCGGCTGCAGGGAGGCCCGGCGGAGCCCGGCTCCCAGCGGGGCCGTG